CGCGCCAGGCAGGGAGGCGCAATTTGCCCGCCCTGGCCGGCGCCGGCAGGTGCACCATGCCAATGTTCGGTGTACCGACCTATCAGCGATTTTCGGTTGATCCCCGGTGGTGTTTGCCGCCTCCTTGGAAAGGAAACTGCGTAACCCTTCCAGCCCATCCAGAGACGATGCCCAGGATAATTGAGGTGATCAGGGAAGTCTAGGAACAAGAGAGGGGGCAGCTGCTATCTTTCGAGGAGGAGGAGGAAAGCAAATAATATTAGTAATCGTAGTACAAAATAGTGATAATAGTACGAATGGTAGTACTATTATCTTATCTAGTACTAATGATGATGTTGATGGTGATGAGGATAGGATTAGTAATAGTATTACTACTAAGATGAAAGATGATGATAATAGTAACATACTATATTGATAATACTAATACGAATAGTAATCATATTGCGAATATTAATACTAATTACACTATTTATACTATTTATGAACATAGTAATAATTATACTAATAATACTAATCGTGATCGTAATAATAAGTACTATTGTAGTAATAGTGGTAGTAATACAAAAAATAATAAGAGAGGAGGAGGAGGAGGAGGAGGAGGAGGAGGAGGAGGAGAAGGCGTATGGAGGAGGAGGAGGAGGAGCATGGAGGATGGATGATGGAGGAACAGGGGGGAGGAGGAGGAGGAGGAGGAGGAGGAGGAGGAGGAGGAGGCGAAGGAGGAGGAGGAAGAGGAGGAGGAGGAGGAAGGAGAAGAGGAAGAAGGAGAGGGAATATGCTGATGAGAAGAAGGCGCGGGGCGAGCAGAAGGTCAGAGGCCTCTTGGATGTTTTTTCGGAGTCTCTTGTGATGTCTCTTGGGAGGGTCCTGGGAGGCCTCTTGGGCGTTTCGGGGGCCGCTTAGGGGCCCCTTGGGGGCCTCATGCGGGCCTCTTGGGGCTGTCTTGGGGCTCTCGTGGGAACCCTGGAGGCCCTCTTGAGGCCATCCTCGAGGAGGCGCTCAACGAATGTGGGAACGTTAGTTCGCATCGCCTTTGTGGATACCCCGAAGTCGCTTCTTGGAGCCCTTAAAGGGCGCTCTTGGGCCGGTCTTGGGGCTCCCTGAAGCCTCTTGGGGGGGCAATCTTGGATCCATCTTGGCGCTTCGGAAAGCCATCAGAAGCGAAAAAGCGAGAAAACGAACAACCTTGATTTTCCTCAGGGTTTGGGAGGGTTGTGGCCTCTTGGGTGCTCTCTTGGGGCTGCTCCGAGGCCACTTGGAGCCGTCATGGGGCGGTATTGGAGCCTCTTGGACCGCGTTGGAGGCTATTTGGAGGACATCTCGGGCTCTCTGAGGCCTTCTTGGAGCCATCTTGGGCCATCTTGGACGCTCCACACGGTCGCGGGACGCCCCGTCCAGAGGTAGGGGTGGGGGGAAGGGTCAAGCTACCCACCCGCCCGCAAGCCGTCTAGCTCACTCCCACCCGCCCTCCCAACATGTAAGTAACACGCGAACCTCAGCATGTTCAGCGGTCGTCTTTGGATGGATAGCTACTGGGAACCAAAGTTAACCAAAGCCGACCCCAGGTGCGCGACGCTTGGGCGAGGTGCGCCACGCGTGCCAGGGGCGCCACGCGCGCCAGGTACCCCTGAGGCCCGAGCGTGCCAGGCACGCCTGGTGCGCCAGATGCGCCGCGTGCTCCGAGTGCGCCAGGTGTGCGGCGCACTCCAGCCGCGCCAGGTGCGCCATGTTCGGGGCACGTGCAGAGTGCGTCAGGTGCGCCTGCGCACGTGACATCACACATCGGGAAACATGTCGACTCCCCGCCATCCTCGTCGAAAAACAATGCCCATCATTGTGTCTGGTTTGCCTGCGCACAGCAGGCCATGCGCCACCACCCCCGCCGTCCCTGTCAAAAACTATTTGACAGTGATCGCGGGATGGCCGCGCATGATCTAGATTTAGCCGCGAGGTGCATGTTGTATTTTTTTGTCAGGGATGGTAGCCCTGCACACAGCAGGGAATATGCTGGCACCCCCGCGGACCCGATCAAAAACAATACAAAGTGTTCGCGGGCCTCACGAGCATGACTCAAGACTTTGCCCCAAAGTGTACTTTGTATTTTTTTGACAGTGATGGTGGGGGGGGCTGTATCGGGTTGGCCGCGCATGCTCCACATGTGGAGGCAGAGTGCGGTTTGTATTGTTTTTTGATAGGGATTGTGGGGGGCGGGCCCGCATGGATTCGGCATGATTCCTGGTTGACCGCCAGCCAGGTGGGAGAGGGGGTGTATATTTATAAGGAACAGTGCTAAAGCCCTCCCCGAAGGGAACGAGGGGAAGATGGAAGAAAACCAGAGGGCTGGTAGGATTAAGTCCGTGCCCCAGCTCTGCGGTTTCCTCCCTCTTCCTCTGTCTCCTCTCTTCTCTTTTTCCGTTCCCCCCTTCCCATCGCGTGCCAGGAACGTGCAAAATTGCACGATTGGCACGCTAAGCCCTCCGAAGTCCCCGAGATTGCACCGGTGTTATCCACCAGGGCCTTGGACTGCAGCTGGGCAGCTTCACCGGTGAAGTCGGCGGGTATTCGTGGTGGTGCATATATATATATGACTGTGTATACGTATACCTATATATACACACATATACATACATGAAATGTATGCACGTCTGCATGCCTGCATGCATGCATGTATGCATGCATGCATGTCCGTATGTATGTATGTATATAAATATGTGTATATATATGTACATATAAGTTGACATGTACATGAACATGCACACATACAGATACACACATATGTACATGTGCACACACGTATATATACAGTTATGTATTGCATATATATATATGTATATGTGTGTGTACATGTGCGTATACACGTTTGTATGCATGCATGCGTTTGTGTGCATTCATGCATACATGCGCTCACGCATGCATTTATGTATGTATGTATGCGTGTATGCATGCATGCATGCATGACATTTGTATGCACATATGTACGTACGTACGTACGCATGCATGCATGTATGGATGGATTGATGGATGTATGTTCGTATGTACGTCTGTCTGTCTGTCTGTCTGTCTGTCTGTCTGTCTGTCTGTCTGTCTCTCTCTCTCTCTCTGTCTGTCTGTCTGTCTGTCTGTCTGTCTGTCTGTCTGTATGTATGTATGTATGTATGTATGTATGGGTGCGCATGCATGTATGAATATCTTTGTTCATATATGCATACACACGGGGTTCAGGGCCAGGGGCCCTGGAGCAACCTCCAGGTCTCCATGCCCGTGGCAGGGATCCTGGGCTTCTTCCGGACGGGCCAGGGGGCATCCAAAAACCCCCACGATGGCCCACGAGGGATGCGAATCGCCGGAGAACCGCTCCAAGACGCCCCAAATAGCAGCAAAACGTGCCAACAGACCGCCCAAGACGCACCGAAAGGCCTCCAAGAGCAGTCCCAAGAGGGCCCAACACGCCAATATTGCCGCATTTCCGTAAGAAACATGGATGTTTAGCATCTACGGTTTGGTTTTTCTGCCCTCGCGGCGTTGGCGGCCCGTGGAGCCCCCAAGACAGCCCAAGAGGCCCCCTAAAACGCTCCAAGACAGCCCAGGAGAGCCCCAAGACGGCCCAAGAGTCGCCCAAGAGAGTCCAAGAGAGCCCAAAGACGGCCCCCACCGAGGCCCAAGAGCGGGAGCCCGAACCAACAAGTCGACGAGTTTTCCGCTGCAAGATGCTCAAGGGAGCCCCCCAAAAGGCCCCAAGAGGCCCGCAAGAGCCACACAAGACGCCCCAGAAGGCTTCAAAACAGCGTCAAAGAGGCTTCAACAACGCCACCAAATCGCCCCCGAGAGCCCTTACACAACATCCCGACGAATACCCAAAAGACTTATGACCCACAACCCAGGCACGCTGGCGATTGGGCGGAGGGTTTTCGAAAAGATACACGGGGAGGAGAATATTAGGGATTGGAGGATGCGGCAACATGAAGAGTAGAAGGAGAAGGCGTGTCAGGAGGAGGGGAATTTCCAGAGGACGTGTCGAATGGGAGCTACACCCCCTTTCCATTCGGTGTGTCCAAGGCAGGGTAGCGCAGAATAATGACAATTGAGGGGCGAGGAAGGAGTGAGGAACGAGGAGGCCATGATGTGGACGAGGGTTGGGAAAGAAACAGCAGGCAAGGGAAGGCACGAAGCATGACGGGAGACGTCAGCCACAAAAAGATGAGTAAGGTAAGCAGGGCAGTTGGAGAGTGAGGAGTCAAACATGATCCAGCATGTACTTCCCAAGGCCTGGAGGTACCTAGATACAGAGCGCGCGCGGAGCGCGCTCTCTCTTCTTCTTCTTCTTCTTCTTACTATTATTATGTTCATTCTTATTATTATTATTATTCTTATTATTATTCGTCTTCTTCTCTCTCTCTCTCTCCCTCCCTCTCTCTCTCACATTCTCATGTTCTTCCTCTCTCTCGTCTCCCCCCTCTCTATCTCTCTCTGCTTTTGGGCGACCGCGGAAAGATTTCCAAGCCGCCGCCGGGCAAAGTTAGGGCGCAACAGTGCGACTTGCGTCTATGCGGGCGGAAGGAGCAGCAAGAGAGGACTGGCCGCGAGTGGCAGAAGCGGGGTCAATTATTGCCCTCTGGTCCCGTCTGGCTGGCCAAGGTTTGGTAGCCATGTGGAGGTGACCCCTCCCCCCCCCTCAACTGACCTGGGTTTCAGAGCTACCATGCGCCCAGCCTGGGTTCGCAACGTGGCCTTGGCTAACCGCGATCAGCGCTGACCCGGGGTAGCGCGTTCCCGAAACCAGGGAACGACCATAGGATTCGAGGAGGACGAACAGGCGGGGTGGGAAAGGGCCGGGGGCACGACATCTTCTGAATGCAGCTGGTTTCGGCCCCCCCGCGAGACACTTTCCTGAATACGCGGGCGCCGCAAGGGAAACCAGCTGCATGAAGCTGTTGCGCCAATCTCTCCTTTGCGGTGGGGGAGTTCGAAACAAAACATTATGGCTGCGAGCTGCCCGGAAGGCGCAGCGGAAGTCCACGGCGCGGCCGCTCACGCGCGTCGGCTTGGAGCAGGCGCGGCAGCGACGTCGCCGTGGATCGCCGCCGATCGCCGCCGTCGTCGTCGTCGTCGTCGTCGCCGTGGTCGACTGTCGTCGTCGAATCGCCGTCCTCGTCGCCGTGGTCATCCTCGACGCCGTTGTCGTCGTCGTCGTCGTCGTCGTCGCCGCCGCCGCCGCCGCCGTCGTCCCCGTCGTCGATGTGTCCCCTTCGTGGTGCGGGGCGCTCACCGGGAGCGGAGCGCTTGCGCGCTCGCGCGAGGGGAGGGCCCGCCTCCGCGGCGCGGCCTGGGTCGGGGATGGGGGGAAAACCAGGGACTGCGAGCTCTGCTGCGTGCAGCCGGTTTCGTCTCCGTTGCCAGGAGCCGCCTCCGGCGCCTGGAGGCGCCAACAAGACAGCTGATTCGTGACTCCCCCCTGTCGCTCCCCCCCTTTCGTCTGGCCCGATAGGTCGAGGGCTGGGTCCAGCGCCTTCGCCTTCACCGAGGTGTCCAGAGGCTCACAGAAAGTTCGACCTCCATCTGTTATACTTGTGTGCTTATACGCCCTCTCGTCGCCACGGCTGGATCTGCCTCGAAATCTACACGGTGTAGGATAGGTTTGGCGGTCGAACTTGAGGGGTAGGAGGAGGAGGGGATGGAGAAGAGATCGTACAAGAAGGCCATGCAATGGCATAAAAAAGGATGCCATATGTGAACACACGGGATCCATGATAGCTGGACATCTGTCAATGCCTGATATGGAATAGAGGGTGGCGCCAGAAGCCTTGGAAGTAGTCCGGGGGGGCTCCTCTCGACGTCGGCGTCGTAGTTCTGCCTCTTGGTCTGGCCTTCTCCTGCATCCCCCTTGAGCCTCCTGCCTGCTCCTGGGGCCTCCTGCTGCAACCTGGAGCCTCCTGGGCCTTCCTGGAGCCTTCTGGAGCCTCCCGAGACCTCATGGGGCCTGGGGTACTCCTGGGGCCTCCCGTGGCATCCTGGAGACCTCCCAGAGCCTCATAGGACTTCCTGGTGGCTCTGAGGCCTCCTGCGGCCTCTGGTGCCTCCTGGGGCCTCCTGAAGCTTCTTGTGGCTTCCGGAAGCCTCCTGGGGGTCCCGTGACCTTCGGAGGCTTTCCGAGGGCCCCCGCTCGAGACATCTTCCAGATTCAAGCTTGGGAGGCCAAAAACTGACGCAGTTACAAAATTTGGATGACCCCGCTGGGATTCCAACATTGAGGTGGGGACCCTATAGGGAGGGCAGACTCAAGCCGAAGGAGCCCAGGTACCAACATGAAGGACGGGCCCCGTAGGGAGGGGGGGGCCCGCTCGAGACATCCTCACGATCTGCCCCCTTGCTGTGCTCGAGTGCTTTGCCTGCTACACTACGCCGATGACCCGCTCGGATTACAAACATGAAGTGCGTGCGGGCCCTGCAGGGAGGGGGCTCCCGCCTGAGACTTCCTCGCAATTCACTCGCAGACGAGACCCCCGCTCGAGAAATCCTCACGATTTGCCCCCTTGGGGTGCTCAAGTGCTCTGCCTGGTCGAGTTTGCTGATGACCCGCTCGGATTACCAACATGAAGTGCGGGCCCTGCAGCGAGGAGGCTCCCGCCTGAGAATTCCTCGCAATTCGCTCACAGACGAAGCCCCTGCTTGGAACATCCTCACGATTTGCCCCCTTGGGGTGCTCAAGTGCTCTGCCTGGTAGAGCTGCCGATGACCCGCTCGGATTACCAACACGAAGTGCGGGCCCCATAAGGAGGGGGTGCCCGCCTGAGACTTCCTCGCAATTCACTCACAAAAAAAGCCCCCGCTCGAGACATCCTCACGATTTGCCCCCTTGGGGTGCTCAAGTGCTATGTCCGGTAAATTTTGCCGATGACCCGTTCGAATTGCCAGCAGGAAATGCAGGCCCCATATGGAGGAGCCCCCGCTGAAGACTTCCTGGCAATTCACTCACAGACGAGACCACCGCTCGACACATCCTCACGATTTGCCGCTCAAGTGTTATGCATTCGACCATAGACCCTGGCCTACGCTTGCATCGAGCCAAAAATATGGCAGGTATATGTTTGCTGATGACTCGCTTGGATTACAAACATGAAGTGCGGGCCCCGCAGGAAAAGGGCTCCCGCTCGAGACTTCCTTCAAGGTGAGTGCGTGAGTGTGCGCGAGTTTGTGTATGGCGATGGCGATGAGTGCTGCTGCTGCTGATGATGATGATGACGATGATGATGACGATGACGATGACGATGACGATGACGATGCTGATGATGATGATGATGATGATGATGATGATGATGCTGATGATGGTAATGATGGTAATGATGGTAATGATAATAATGATGGTAATGATGTTGATGGTGACGAGTGGAGGTGATGAGTGTGTGAGTGTGAGTGGGTACATGATGACGGCGATGATGATGATGCTGCTGATGATGATTATGATAATGATGATGATGATGATGATGATTATGATGATGGTGATGATGATGATGAGGTGTGAGCGTGCGGGTGGGTGTGTTCTTGCGCGGGGTGTCCATGTGGGGAAAGATGAGGATGATGCTGATAATGAGGATGATGATGATGATGGCAATGATGATGATGATGATGATGATGATGATGATGATGATGATGATGATGATGATGATGCTTATGATGACAAAGAATGGTGGTGGTAGTAGTGGTTATGAGGATGCTGATGATGATGCTGCTGATGACGATGATGGTGATGATGATGCTGATGATGATGATGATGATGCTGCTGATGATGATGATAATGATGATGATGATTATGATGATGGTGATGATGATGATGATGATGATGAGGTGTGAGCGTGCGGGTGGGTGTTCTTGCGCGGGGTGTCCATGTGGGGAAAGATGAGGATGATGATGATAATGAGGATGATGATGATGATGATGATGATGATGATGATGGTGGCGATGATGATGATGGTGGTGATGATGATGATGCTTAGGATGGCAAAAATGGTGGTGGTAGTGGTGGGTATGAGGATGCTGATGATGATGCTGCTGATGACGATGATGATGGTGATGATGATGATGATGATGCTGATGATCATGATGATGTGGGTGTGTGGGTGTGTGGGTGTGTGGGTGTGTGCGTGAGGAAGATAGGCGAAGCGGAAGAGGAGGAGGAGGGGGATGAAGAGAACATCCTTCGCGGTGTGTGTGTGTGCCGAGAAAACAAGAACTCAATTTTGGATGCGGGGAGATAGTCGGGAAGCGATTGCAAGGGGCGACGCCATATGGGGCGAGGACATGAGTCGGAAGAACGAGAAGCGAGACAAGCTCGAAATCGGCTGGAAAAAAGGCAACGGGGCCCAGCGTGCGGAGGTGGGCTTGCGGATGGCGGTCTGAACGCCGATCAACGTAGTGTCGTTGCGAAGGTGGCCGATCGGATTCTGCCGCAGGAATTCTCGTCTTCTACGAGGGGGAGGACAACATGTCGGAGACGTGCCGATATGCAACCCCTCTTGCGGGCTGTGCACGGCGGTCCAGGGACTGGGAAGAGCTTCGTCGTAGACAAGATCCAGAAGAAACTTTTCGAGAAGGGGAGGAGATGGGGTGGACGCGCGGCATTGGCTTCCAGGTAGAAGCATTGAAGGCGACAAACGCGTCAGGCCTCGACGGGAATACGAACCACAGCGCATTGGGCATGGGCGCGGCCAAAACGAAAGCGCAAAGCGCTGGTGCGATGGAAGCGTAGACTTGGAGAAGACGAACAAACACATGGTCGCGCAGCGAATGTCTCAGCGGAAGTGGCTAATCATAGACGAGGCGAGCATAGTAAACGCGAGCTTCTTTGCAGAGCTCGATTCGCGTCTGCGGTCGTGCATGTCAGCAGCAAGCGACGCGAAAGTCGGGCGGGGCGGCGTGGACAGGCCGCGCGGTGGTGCGAGCGTGCTGTTCAGCGAAGATGTCTATCAGCTGGAGCCGCTGTCAGGTACAGCTATCAATGCGCCGCCCGCGTTGTATCTGAAGGGTGCGCGGAAGTGCGCGCCCGGCGCCGCAGAGGACCACGGGCAGCATGTTTTCTGGGGGGCAGGGGGCGAAGGGGCAGCGCGGGGTATAACGGAGCTGACGGAGCGCGAGCTCGCGGAAGACCAGGACGACTGGTTCCTTGGAGCACAAGGCGAGTTTTGGCGAGGAGCGCCGAGTGAAAGCGAGTGCAAATTCTGGCAGGGCAGGCCGACGGACTCGCCAGGGTCGGCGCGATCGGCGCACCGCAGCGGGGGCGCGCGCATCGCAGAGGCTATTGGCAGACGCGACAGGCTGGAGTGCGAAGCGCGCAAAGCCGAGCGAGTAAACAGGAATCTCGTTGCGACTTCGCCGGGGGACGCGCGACTTCGACGGGAGATTGGCAGATGCCAATCGGGGCATTCGGCGCCGCGTCGGGAAGCAAACGGCCGCGCTGTAGGCGACGGGGCAAGGAGAGCAGATGCCATGCGTCGCAGCAAGAGATCGCCCGCCCCATGGGGGGGCGGGCAGTCGCGGCCGCGCACGGTAGAAGACAAAATGCGGTGGCTGGCTTACCGCGACAAGGAGCGCGCGAGCTTGAAGGGGTGGCCCCCGCTGGCAAACTGCGTGCCCGTAGCGCTGGGGGGCTACTTGGATCTGTTGAAGAAGCAGCTTCTGCGGGGCCGCGCGGCGACGGCTCGTGGGCGGGCGTTGCGCGCAGACGAGGTCGCGGGGGATGGGGGCGAGGAGGTTTTGTTGCACTTCCCCAGATTCGTCGCTCTAGGCTTTCATGCGACGGAATGGCACCTGCCAGGCTGGGGGCCAGCGCTGCGTCCAATTGTCCCATCGAAGGGGCGCCGGCGGTTCTCGGGCGGGCGTCGGAACCATCCTGCGCAGGGCGCGAAGCGCACGCGGCCCGTGGTCGCGCCGTCGTTGGCAGTCGCGGCGCGCGCCGTGCAAGAACGAACAGATGGCGCAGTCGCGGCGGATCTCGAAACAGGGCGCGGCGCCAGTTGGACGTCAATCATCGTTGCCATCGCGCTGGCGCGAAGGCGAG